TAATTTTGAAATCCTTTTTTATTATCTTGTGGATTTACGAATTGGACCGTTTATCGGGCAAAAAGAAAAGAGACTGATGAAAAAGTGCTGAAATTCTGCAAATATCGAAAAAATTGTCTATTTGAATTAGCTAAAAACTTGTTGTGCAAAAGAAAGAATCCTCCCACTAATTCCAATGTTGTTGTACAAAGTCAGCGAAATAAAACAAAAAAATTTGTCTTTAGTCATTTTACTATTGTTCAGTGACGGACTGTTGATTTCAGTTTCAATTAACATTTTTTTAGCCTTGTTTCAAAAGGACAATTATTTTTTGGGGCGGAAGCAGTTGGATGAAAGGAAATGGCAATTTTTTGGTCTTTATACTGAACTATTTACGTCGAAGAAACAATTTAACTTTTTAAATACTTCTAATGTTTATGGTCTCGAGTCTCGATACACCGCGGTTTTTTGGGGGAGGGGAGAAGGGGAGGATGGTGAAAGGGGAGGGGAGTTTGTAAAATTGGCAGATTACTTTATGGCTGATTTACCTGCGAGGAAAAAAAAATAATAATAATTCGTTTAAAAGCAATTTTTTGGCTTCACTTTGTTCCTTCTTTTCTATGATTATTCTAAAAAAATTTATAATCTTTCAATTTTTTTCTCTTAGTTATACTTCTGATAGTTTATTTTTGTTTTTATTTTTTTTATTTTTCGTAACAGTACTGAAATGGCGCTTCTGACGTGCTGTAGTTTCTGCATACCGGTGATGTATTTTTGAATGATGGAGATTGGTTTGCCGTAAAGAGCAAAAACAATGATGCAGAAGGGAAGGTAAAAAAAAATTAAAGTAAGAAAAAAAGCGAAGAAAAAATTGATTTTAACTCCAATACACTTTTGAAAAGAAATGCAAAGGAGAAGAGAAAAAACAGAACAAAATGAATGAAACCCAAACGATTTTGCAGACTTAAAGTACCTTAGTTTTTATTTCCATTTATTTGAACTGTCTTTTCCTCATCACCCGTCCCGTGTTGTATTATCAATGGTCAATTGATTGTAGTCACACATTAAGGTTCTTCGCTGCTTTTTTGCCGTTGTTATTGCTGTCAATCGGTTTGTTTTTGTTTTGGTGTTGTTTGAAGAAAACGCAAACAAATCATTCGTTGCTGTTTGATTGGGTGGAAACAAAGTTTAACAGAGTTTCATCAATCACTTGAAAGAAGTTTTTTTGTCTTTTTTTTCTTGCTTTTCTAAATTAATTATCTTTGTTTGTTGGTAAAGGTGACAAAGAAGAAACGTCCTTTTTTTAATTACTTTTTTTTCTTTCAAAAAAAGGGTTTTCTTCTTTTTTGAACGGAAATATAAATAATTCAATTTTTTGTCAAATAAGTGTAGATTGCCGTTAAAAGAGCAGCACGTTTCAAGGGCAAACAGTGTTCAACAAAGGTGGCAGGGGTAGTAGGGGGGTGGTAGGCCGCCAGTTCTCTAAGCCGAGTGAGCAGCAGAAATAAAGGATAATTTGGGAAACTGAACGATAAAAATAGCGCTTTTCGTTCCCCCTTTGCTTTAGCGTAAATCTTTTTGTTCACCGTTGTTTGCTGAAAACAACGGTGTCTATTTTTGCAGCTACCTAAGCAGAAAATTTTTTTAATAGAAAAAATGCCGCTTCTGATGTAGTCACAATTGTTGCTTAATTCATCGTTCAATCGGATAATTGTTGTCGTTGTTATGATCCAAGTACTGCTTTCAGTTTTAGTTCATTACACTTTTATCTCTGTCCTTTTTTTTTACTGGGGTATTGACCACCCTTTACTGATCATTTTAGTTGACTGTGGACATTTAGCGGACAGTGCAACTAAAAAATCTTTGGTCCTTTCTTAGATGGTGTTGTCATTTGTTGAGTAGAATCTCTCTCGTTTATGGATTAATTACTGTCTCTTTTTCCTTCCATTGTTTTTTGTTAACATTTATTTAGTTTGTTTCCGTTTTTTACCCTTTCCTGCTTCTTCTTCTTAGAACACAAGAAGATGGTAACAAAAAATTGTAAAAGAAAAAAAAATGAAATGAGATAAAACGATTGAGGAGTTTTGTGTGGTAAGTCTGGATTTTTGTTGAGTTGGTCAGCTTTTACGGGGAACGAAAGAAAGAGTGGTAATGTTGTTGAGCAAGAAGAAGAAAGAACAATATGTTTTTTTCAGGACTAGAATTGTCTATATCGACGTCTGTATACGTAATAAGCAGAGCTGGTAAACTCTGTCGCACGGTAGCGGCCATTTTCTGCTCGTTTCCCCGTTGTCATTTTCGGCATCGTCGCTGTCGTTCGACCATTCCGGCAGTGGTTGTCGGAGGTCTGCTGATGTCTGTGACAGACTGACACTAATTAGAACGGCGATTTCTTACACCCGAGTCTAAGTCTAACAAATCTATGTAGAGCAGTAAAATCTATTTGTTTGTGAAAGAAAAAAAGCAATATCGCTTTGCTTTCGCTCTTTTGCTATTTTTCCTAATTTTACAGTTTACCACCAGGGATATTGGATCAGTTTTCTTGTCAAACAGCAGTTCGCATACAAAATAGGGAAAAAACGTTTACAGTTAAGGTTGCTCATTAATTTCAAGAAGACAAAGGGAGAAGGCAGAAAAGGAAGTAAATTTTCAAAATTAATTTTCAAAATATTTAAAAAAAAAATTAAAAAATAGACAGTGTAGTTTGCAAAGTGTTTTTTTTTTTTTGACTTTATGACTTGAATAAGTTTAAAAACAAATACTTTTTTGGTATCTGGTGGTTTTATTAGTTACAAAAAAAGTGAATAGAAAAGTGTTCAGAGACAAAAAAATACTTAGTTTTATTTAAAATAGGGACGAGATAATGAAAAAGTTACTCACATACTGTTTGTTCATCTTTTTCGCAGTGCTGCAGTTGGGTTTTTTGAAGTGACAGAATTCTAGTGTTGGTGAAGTTGATCTACTTGCTCTATCTTTGCTCTATCTTGGGCATTTTCTTATAGGAGGTGGGCGGGAAGGAGAGGGTCAAAATTGAAAAAAAATGCAATAAAGGACATTATTCGGTGGTCATCAGATTTTACTTGTTTCTTTCTGTTATCCGCATCTTTTATCAGACATTTTCAACATCAAAAATTGTTGTTACCGATTGTATGAGTTGTTCGGAAAATCAGAGACAGATTAGGATTGCCAAGTGGATAGAGGGAGAAGAAAGATATGTTACGTTTTCAAAAATAACATTTACTTAGAATTTGTCTTTTTTTCGTTGTATTAATAAGTTTATTCTTCTGTTCTTACTGTTTTTGTTTTGATTATCGACAAGTTTGGCTTTTTTTTACTCTTTTACACTTGTTTGCTATATTAAGAAATTGCTTCTTTTCTAGATACACAATTTTTTTTCGATTCTTCTTATTGTTATTATTACTGTAATAAATGGTACATCGTTGAGGTGCTTAGCGGTGACAACCTTTTACTTCGTCTTCTTCGTTCTTCTGGTCTCACTAATATTTGTTTGTAAGCAAATCGGGAGAGGGAGGGGAACGAAAAAAGTGAATAGAAAAAGTAGGGCAAAGAACAAAGCTTAGGTTTTTTCGCTATTTTGGTCGGTTGTTATTAAAAAAATATAGCATCAGTTAGTTGTATTTCAAATTGAAGATTTTTTTTTGCAATTATAGCATTTTTTTAAATTATTTTGTCTGGTGATAAGTATCAAGGAAAAAAGTTGTTTTTTTGATCAGTAATATTTACATGTATTTGTTTCTTTTTTTCTTTCTAACTGATGTGTAGATTTATAAGAGAATATTGCCAAATACTACTCGCTCCCCGTTTTCCGTGCCATCGCCTCTCGCTCCGTCGGTGCTGGAAAAAGTAACTAACTCATCAATTTTTTTCTAAGCAGTTTTTCTTTTATTACTTGCTGTCTCAGCTTTGCTACGTCTTTATTCTCGGTTTCTTTATATGTAGTTTTCAAAATGCTTTCTGTCTTGTCATTGACTGCTGATCTTTTTGTCTCATGTGCACACCGTTCTTTTATGGGCCCTATTTAAGAACAACATAACAAGTATTTTGTTACTTTGCCATTTTGGTGAGCCGGTTTTAAGGCAGTTCTTATTTTTCCTTCGAAGTACGCGGAAATGTTTGAAGGGGAAGGAAGGCGGAGGTAGAGGAAAGATCGGCTATAGTTTGTTTTGCGTTAAGATTTTTATTTTTTTATTTATTTATTTTTTTTTGCTTCACACTTTATTCGTTCCTACCTGTTTGAGATCGTTGTTGACCAAAATAGCGGTATATAAAGAAGTAAATGAGATGAGCTATTGGAAATTTAGGTACAACAACACGTATAATCAACCATGAGCGTTGCACTTCTGAGACAGATTCGTTCATTCCCAGATGTTCGGATTGATACCGGCAACATTCACCGTCACGTTGATGTTCTTCGACGGGTTAGCACTGATCCAGTTGATGAGCTTCTTGCGAGTCTTGAATCTCAGCTACAATGTGCAACAATCCCGAATGTCACTTACGGGTACCTTTTCTTGTGTGTGTTTGTGAGTTTGTGCTTTTGGTAGTTAATAAATGGCTTTGCTTGTTTATTAATCGACGGAAATGATGATAAGAGCGGTGTAGTTGATACCGTTGAAAGTTTGCATGACAATTTATAGTTGGCTATTTTTATGTACGTAACTCTCTTTTTTGTCATTTAGTGAAGGAACTTGCTGTATTTTTTCTTTCAGTCCTGATATGGTAATTCTGGCTCCTGAAACGGAATATACATTTTCTGACGAGAATGCACACTTTGATCTGAAGATTACTTTAAAGGTACGGTAGCTTTTCCAGTACAACAAGGCTTATTTTTGTCTAACACGACTTTGTACGTTTATTACGTAGTTTATTGCTAGTGAACTGTGTCATTTATTAGTCAGCGGAACCAAATGGTGCAGACGATACAACGTGTCATAATGTAGTTTGATTGTGATGAGAAAAGCACAAAATATGAGAAGTGTCTATACCAAAAAAGTCATGCAATAAATATTTTATAGGAGTTTTATGAGAAATAGACGTGTTTTTTGCAGATAATAATTAATATAGCTTACAGATTTTCATGCCTGACTGGGACCAACGTCATATTGTTGACTGTGTGGATACTGCTTTGCAACAATTGGGTGTCAGGGCAATCACCCAGTTGATTATATGTTTCCCTGACGACGATGAGACCGTAAGCATTTCAGGAAATAGTTCTGAGTTTTTTTTCATTTAGATCAGGATATTGGTTTCTAATTGAAACTGCATCTGTTGTAGGATACTGATGAAAAACTGAGCTCGTGGCTACAAAAAGCTTTACCAGTTTGGCGACAACTGGAAGAATTGGTGAACGACGGCAGGGTAACCTCGCTTGGTGTCGCAGATCTATCCACAGAAAGATTAATCGCATTGAACGAAGCTCCAATTCGTGTCCGTCTATCAATCAATCACCATAATGTTGAGGGGTGTTGCGCGGTAATTTTTTTTTCACTATTTATAATTTTTATGAGTGGTTGCACTCTTGAAAGGGAACAGTTTATTTGTTGTATTCTTCTTGTTTTTTTTTTTTTTTTTTTTTTTTTTTTT